TAAAGCAACAATGCTTAGACTGAATATGGCATTCCAATATCTGATTGCATTCCTCCATTAGACCCAATGTATCATATTCATGCCCCACTAACTGATCCCAAGTAAAAATCAATTTGTTCATTCAAGCCTACCAGAAGAATTTTTATTACTGATTTTAAGTCTGGATTTTGCCATAAGGTCAATTTAGCATGCAAAAATGAATCAAACTGTGACTAATGTGATACTGTCTGCCAGACATCTCAAACAGCCCTAATAATAAAAAAGGAGCCCTATCTGTTTTAATATGCTATACCATTCATATGAACAGCTGCTGAGCCTTCAAGTAGGAAATAGCATAAGCTTTTGACCTCGGCCTCATTCCCACCCCACTCCTGCATGCCCTTTTTCTCTCCCTCCATGGGAGTGTTTACTGATGATATTTTGAACCAAGTTAGTCCCCTGAATTGATGGAAATCAGTGGCCAGGCATCTTGAATAACATCTTTTCAGTTGCTAAGTCAGCTTTTCACAGCAGTAGTTTCCTCTGCAAGCACAAATAAAGTCTTTTCATTATTTTCCATTGTTAATTTAAAAATGAAAAAATGACAGTTGAATAAGCAGAAAAATTGTATTTCTCAGTCCAGGAATAAAAATTACACTGCAGGGAAGACAGTATCTAATGATAAAGGTTTAAAGGATAATGCTGTACATCTAGCACTAGAGTTAAAAATCTAAAAAATGAATAATTTTAAGCAGTCATTAGCTCAAGAGATTGCCGTATTATAATGTGAATTTTATATAATATTTAGGAGCATATAATAAGTACTATTATGATTGTGTGACTGAATTCCTACCATTCCTAGTGTATATTTACTACACCTGTAATTATGGAGCAGTAATTTTATATACAAGTATCTAAATTATGAAAATCAAGTTATCTAAAAACTTACACAAAGAGTACCTTCCTTTTTTGTAAAATGTTCTGTTGTTGTTGTTAGTCATGAAGTCGTGTCTGACCCATCGCAACACCATAGACAACATTTCTCCTGGCCTTCTTGTCCTCCTCCATCCCCTGCAATCCACGTAAACTCACACCAACTGCTTCAGTGACTCCATCCAGCCACCTCATCCTCTGCCATCCCCTTCTTTTGCCGTCAGTTGTTCCCAGCATTAGGCTCTTCTCCAGTGAGTCCTTCCTTCTGGTTAGGTAGCCAAAGTATTTGAGTTTCATCTTCATGATCTGGCCTTCTAAAGAGCAGTCAGGGTTGATCTCCTCTAGGACTGACTGGTTTGATCTCCTTGCAGTCCAAGGGACTAGCAGGAGTCTTCTCCAGCACCATAATTCAAAGGCCTCAGTTCTTCAGTGCTCAGCCCTCCTTATGATCCAGCTTTCACAGTTGTTCTATTGAGTTCTGAATTAATGTTTAATCATCAAATTTGCACATTTATTTAAGAAATTTGTGAAGAACTATAAGTTGCTAACTTAATTTAAATCAAAGTTTTCTCTAGGTCAGGGGTTGGCAACCTTAAACACTCAAAGAGTCATTTGGACCCGTTTCCCTCAGAAAAGAAAACACTGGGAGCCACAAAACCCTTTTGACATCTAAAATGAAGATAACACTGCTTATATCATTTTTTACTTTTATGCTATGTATAAAAAAACTAAAGTGTGTTGCATTTATGAAATCAATGAATGATTCTTTTATATAATCTTCATCTGTGAACGGCTTCCCGTGCCTGACTATTTCCTGAGCGGCCACAAAACTAGCATATGTAGTTGAGTTTGCAGACTTAATCCACTTCTTGAGATTATTTTTGCTCAGATCAACCTTCTGCATCAGGTCCGAAATGACTTTTTTCTCTCATCTCCATCCGGATATTTTTCAGCAAAGGCTGTGTGTTTATTCTGGAAATGTCTTGCAACATTCGACTTTTTGTTGTTTTCCAATTTCTCACCACATATTAAGCATATTGGTAAACCAGTCTCATCAGCAGTGAAAGCAAATAAATCTGCCCACGTACCGTTAAATGTTCTGTTTACCTCTGAAACTTTTCTTTTCTTGGATTTATCCATGGTTGGCCTACCGGGGGTCAAAAAGCTCAGTAAATAGTGTACCGGCAGGTGTCGCACGTTGGCGGTTGTGACGCATATTTTGAGTGACAGGGAGCCACAGCAGAGGGATGAAAGGGCATGTGGCTCCGGAGCTGTGGGTTGCTGACCCCTGCTCTAGGTGATTAACTCAATCCACCCTGCTTCCTTTCTCTCCACTGTGCTGCTTCTCTGCTCATAGTACATGTATGGTGTGCTCTTTGGGTGAACAAAAGCCAACCGTTTACTTACACCCTCCCCCATACACAGATAGCATTAAAAAAAAGATGCTAGTGACCAACAGTGGGCATCCTTCTTGCTTCCTATTTCTTCCATTAATCCTTTTAAACAAAGATGATTAGTGAGCATCCTGATGAACTGCTTGGATGCTTTAGCAGAAAGGATAACTGTCTCGGGGTAGCTGGTGAGATTCTTGCATACTTGACAGTTAATTGATATTTATTTATTTAATTTGTTTAAAAGCCAGCTGTTAGCAACATGCTCTCTGAGTGGCCATTACAATATAAAATCAACAAATAACATTGATAATATATAGTACACTTAAAATAACATAATAAATAGAACAAAATAATTAAAATATGCATTAATATAATTTTAAAAAGTGCAACGATATAAAAAATCTACGTGGTGCCAGAGGTGTGCTGGAAAAGGACTTTTTGCCAGGAGCCTGAAACTCAATAAGGTAGGTGTTTGGCAAATCTCTGGCAGTAGAGTGTCCCATAATTGGGGATCTCAACAATGTGAGAATGTTCCATGGGTGCCATCATGTATTATCCCAGCTGTGGGCTTAAGCTTTTTTTTGTGGGGGGGTTCCTAAGGAAGGCAATATGCCAGGTGTAGGTTTGCTTACAAGGAATTTATTGAGTAAATTGAAGAACTTCTAATGCTACATGTTCTCAATGAGTAACCAATCAACAAAGTTCCTATCAGCTTGAATGAGCAGTCATCAAAGCCTTTAGTTCTGAGTGAGATTGTGCAGACCAAGGGAAAGTGGGGCTAAGCACCTACTTATCTTTGCTGCTTATGCCATGAAGCTTTGCAATCTAAGCAACATGAAAGTTTCTCACTGTAGCAGGTCCAGCCGTAGCTGATAAGTAGAGTTACAGGGATTGTTGGAAGATTTTCACAGACAAGGTAGCTGGTTTAATCCTGGGATGCAGGCCTTGTTATGGACTATGATAGCAAGTGTTAATGAGTGTTGATGTTCTGAGGTGTCCTTGGTCCTTCTCTGCTGAACTAGGCTTTTTAGCCAAGCCAGACAAGATGGAGGTTTTGCCCACAAAATGGAAGACATCCACAGCCTACATACCACTAAATGGTGCCAGGGAGATATACCTAGTCACAAAATGCTGAACCATAAAACCTATCAGTTTTAAAAAGGGATCCCACCAAACAACTGGCAAATCCCAGAGATCATTTGTGAATCCAGAGGTGACCCATAGTTTGCCAGTGATTTGTAGGAGAGAACTGTTAAGGCAGAGATGGGAACCTCCAGCTCCTGGGATGTATTGGGCCTGAGGAGGTTCTCTATGCTAGCAGTTTCTTCGTGTGGCTCAGCTCAGCCTTCCACAAAAGGAAAAACTCTCAGCAGTTGAGCACTTACTGTTTATGATTGTATGCGCACTTAGTTTTTATCCCAACTTTCTTCCAAGGAGCCTGTGATCCTTTCCATTTCATTCTTTTGGGAATCCTGAGTAGATTAGTCAATCAGTGACTGGTCCAAAAGTGTTCAATAAGCTTCATGGCCAAGTGGGAACTAAATCCTAGTCCAACACCCTAACTATGTCACCACACTGGCTGCCAGTTGTTCTTCCCTGCTTAGCACTGAGAAGGGAAAGAAAATCCTGCCTTAGTGTTTAACAGGGAAAAACACCCCTGATCAGATACTGGTCAGGAATAAGACCTTTTCCTTCTTGATTGAGGAAGGCTGCCAAATGTTTCAGTTTTGCTTCCTTCTTAGTAAACATGTAGAGGCATGACCTGTTACTAGCTGTGATGCACATGCTTACTTCTCAATAAACATGTTTCCTACTAGATATTAGTAGCAATGGAATTTGGATGGGGGATCAGTTTTTCAGCCTCGCCCATGGGTAAAATGTGGTCACTGAGAACCTTTCTGAAATGGGACAAAGTCTTTAAACCAAAAAATTTCCTCACCCTTGCCTTAATGATGTATGTCATAGATGTGTGCTTTTGGAATTTGAAATCATGTCAGCACTGGCAAGACCCAGACTGTCATTTTTACTTTTCAGTTTTTAGGCAGTAATGTAAGCTTACTTTCATGCTTATTTGAGGAATATGAAAACCATGCAAATTCAAGAGGGTTCATTTTAATTCTACTGGGATTTAATACTAATTCATTTTAATTTGACTGTGTTACCCCATGGAAAAGCTAAGTGTGTGTGTGTGTGTGTGTGTGTGTGATGTTTTTCTCTAAGTCTGTCTTAACAATGTAAGTGAAACCACTGGTCTTTAGCTGTTCTCCATCTTCATTTCAGAAGAATGTCTACCTGAGGTCAGGAGGCATTCTGGGATGCTGAAACTGGAGGGTAGCTCAAACGTCAGTCAGTGCTGTGCTTTGAAGTATGTCTGTCCATGCAACAGACATTTTTTTTTCTTTTTTCTTTTACATTAAAATAATGACACTCAGAAGAGCAAAGGCCTCCTGGGCTCTGAGGTTATCATGGGTGCTATAGCACGTAAAGTACAATACTGGGGAAGGCAACCTTTGATTTTTACGTGAAGTAATCTAGAATATTGGTTCTTGCTACAGAAGCACATTCCTATTAAAACTATTGAAGAAAAGATTGCATGATATAATTTACTTACAGAATATCATTTCCTAGTTTTTTAAGGAAAATTAATGCTTTCAATTTAAAGGGATCTAAAATACAATTTGTTTGTCTTCCAAGTGATGTGTATGGACGCAAAGATAAATTTTGATAGCAATTCAGCTTATCGTCAGCAGAAAATCTTTGAGCTACAGGACTGGACCCAAGAAGATGAGAGAGACAGGGATGCAGCAAAGGCAGATCTCAATTATATAGGATTAGATGGAAGCATCGGATGTCTGGGTATGTTGGACATATTGAATAGTGTGGATGTGGGTGCCTGAGCATGTGGGTGCCTGAGGTGTGGGTGCCTGAGCATTCACACTCTCTTTGTTCTGCTTTTAGTGAATGGAGCTGGTCTTGCTATGGCCACAATGGATATAATCAAACTTCATGGAGGTACTCCAGCAAACTTTCTTGATGTTGGAGGTGGTGCTACAGTGCAACAAGTAACTGAGGCATTTAAACTTATTACTTCAGATAAAAAGGTAAGAGCACAGTTGTTATTTGGAGTTTACTATGTAATCTTATATTTATTTCTTGAGGATTGCTAGTGGGCTGAAATACAGATTAGAATACTGTGTCTCATAATATGTATATAAGATACAGTATTTGTAATCTTACAGCACAATCCTGTGTTTATTTGTACTCATAGCAGTGTTCAATGAGATTTCCCACCAGTATATATGTTTAGGATTGTGGTCTTAATCTTGTAATCTAGTAAATGTTCATCACTGAGGTCTTTGTCCTGTATATATTCTTAAATTCATTATTCACTTTATATTAAAGAGGAAACCCTGAAATTGTCAATAAACAGATAATTTCTCGTATTTATATCCCTCCTTTTTGGGATATGTATTTTTTTAAGATCCGTTTCAGGAGAGCACCAAAGCACCTGGAAGGCAATAAGTGCCAATGGCGAGTATTACTGCTACACCCAACACCAAGTTTGATGGGTGCCTTGCTGGAGTCTTGTCCATCGTAGAAAGAGGCTGCAGGATCGTGTTTGACATCCTCCAACCTTTTGGTAAAGTTAGAGGCACACCCCCATCTCTGGCTTTGCTGTTGGAAACTGCCACATTACTGTCCATGGGGGCCATCAAGAGGGTCCACTCCAACCTCTCCAGAGGTTTTTACTCTCAATATTTTACAGTACTGAAGCAGGATGGGAGACTTGGACTGATCCTGGACCTCAGAGGCATAAACCAGTTCCTCACATCCAGGAAGTTCAGAATGGTCTCCCTATAGAGCATTCTCCCACTACTGCATCAGGGAGACTGATTCACCTGCATTGACCTTAAAGATGCCTATTTCCACATTGCCATAGGCTACAATTGCAGGCATTTCCCATGCTTCCAAACCAGGGAGAAGACATTCCAATTTTCATTCCTCCCATTCAGCCTCTCAGCTGGCCTCAGGGTCTTCACAAAATGCATGGCGGTGATATAACTTCAGTCCCATGTTTTTTTTCCAAAACTCAATAAGATGACATCTTTTAAATGTAGGACTCTGCCCTCAATGTTTTAATAACTCTCATTCTTACTTAAACCTCATATGACTGTCATTATTCCCCTCCCCTAATTTTTGGCAATAGTTTCAGAAGAGTTAATACACTAAAGAAACATTGGGCAATATGATTTTAATTCACTGGTATGAAACAATAGCATCATTTTAGGATATGTTGCTACAGCATGAACATTTATTATCTTGAGATGCGATCCTGTGGCTTTCCAACATCATCTGTGGAGCCCTAGCAGTATTCAGCCCCTGCCCTGATGCAGCACAGACACTGGGGAAAGAACCATGCTAGGGCTGAAAACAGCCATCTAGATGAAATAGAGGGCAGAACATATGGCATGTATTGCATACATGTAAGTCTTTAAGTTTGGAAGCTGATGTGCATCAAGGGTGGGTGCTAGGATTGTGTCTTCAATATCTTACGAGTTGTTGCCAAAACATGTAAGTGCCAGAGCATGGCAACCATATATGCATATGGTTTGCATATGCACTTCCACAAACATATACAGTTTGTTCATGCACTTCTTTAAGCACTTCCAACATGCATACATCGCCTTGGTGTCAAAAAACAATGGAGCAACTTGCAGTTGATTTTGTTTATCTCTCCACACAAAAGTAATTTCTGCTCTGCTTTACTAATGGTTGTCCTTATCTCAAAGATGTAATGTCTTACACCAGTTCTCTGTCAGCTGCATTTGTTGCCAGTTGAAGTCCAAGCCCAATTCAAACTGCTTGTACTAAGCTGGAAGCAGCTTGGAGGAGTGTTATCTGAGATAGTGCATTGCCCCATAAACCAAAAGCCTTTTAAGGTTTATAAATTGCTGCTGTGCCTGGTTGTTGTCCTATAATTGTTGTTTGTTAGATTGCTTGTATTTTATGAGAATAGTATTTTACAAATATATATTTTTATATTGTTCATGAGTATTTTATGAATTGTATTTATGATTTTGATATTTGTAAACCATCCAGAGAGCCCATGGGATAGTATATAAATGTAATAAATAAAAATGATGTTTGTTGATCAATATATTACATATTTCAACAATATGTTAAAGATATCCCATGGTCGTCATCACTTTTTCTAATTTCCTGATTTCAACTCTACCTTAAACCACAGTGCTTCTCTTCCCATTGGATTTTAAGATTAATTTAAGATTTAGTATTTGCATTCTTTCCCACCGAGCAACATATTTAAATTGTGCACAGCCTCACTTTCATTTTTTTTCTTGAAGCCAGCACATGTTTGTGTTTTATTTTTCATAGCCATTGTGGGTGCTCACTTTTTAAGATGAACGTGTTAACTATTTGGGGTTCCTTTCCTTCTAGCCACTACAGGTGCAGCATAGCAGTATCTTGAATATATGAAGCCTGAGTCACAGGAAAGGAAAACGTATTTCCTCTGATTGAGCAGTGGGATTTTGAATGTTTTCTCATGTTTGAGTGTGTGACTGTGTATGCTCATTTAAATGCTCATATACAGCTCATCTTTGGTTTTCAGACTCTTGCTTACTATTATATGATGAACTATACTCCCAAAATCTGAGGAAAAATGTATCTTTCTAGACTCAAGTAATTGACTGTAAAAAGACCACTGTGGGGCATACCTCATAGGACACATATTAATTATTCTATGTCCTAGTGTGTCTGTTCCACAAGAAGGCTTGTGGGAGAAGCCCAGTGAAGAGCCTGGGTTGAGCTATCTGACATTAAAGGGTGTATGTGCTAGTCAGAATTTAATTATTGCCAGTCGTTTTAGTAATTCATGTAAGTTTTAAGATCTGATGCCTTAAAAGCTTTGTTGCCTAAAGTTTTATTAACACAATGGCATTAATGAAATCATATTACTGATGTTCTTTATGGTGGTCTCTGTGTATCACACATATGGGCTTCAGCACCAGTGCAATACCCAGGTCAGAAGAAACTTCTACAACTCAGCATCACAGAGTGGGTGGGGGCCCTGCCCCTTCTGGAGTCTGGTTATAAAGGGGAGGGCCCTTCCCAGTCCCTTGGTTCCTTTTTGTTTGCATATTGCTGAGATTGGAATTGCTTCTACTATCTCTCCTTTTTCTTTGTTCTTCAAAAAATAAAAAATATAAATATTAAATCCTCCTCTTCATCTTACAACAGCCCCTCCATCCTGTGAAGGGTAAGCTTACCAATTGTCCATACGTGTGATACACAGAGATCATGATGAAGAAAGGCAGGTTGCTTATCTGTAACTGTCATTCTTCAAGTGGTCAGGTAACCTGCCTTCACTCTTCTTGGCCAGTTTGGCTACTTTGGTTTTATTATTTCTTCTTCAAAAATGCAAACTATTTAAAAATCCTAATTTAGCAAAAGAAAAATACTTTAAAGCTCTTATGCATAAGAAATGAACTAAAGAATTTGTACTTTGTTTAATCTTAAGCTTCACTCATAAGTCCAATGCATTGCTCCTTTACACAGGTGCAGGCTATTCTGGTAAATATTTTTGGAGGCATTATGCGATGTGATGTGATTGCACAGGGTATAATTATGGCAGTAAAAGATTTGGATCTAAAAATACCTATTGTTGTTCGATTACAAGGTGAGTTTTCCACGTGTTACTGAATTCAGAGATATGGCAATAAGTAATTATTTTGCTACACAATTTGCTTTCTCCATTAGTTTCATCATCTTTATCAGGAAAAAAAATCTTAAGTCCTATTCACATGTTATTGTCAAGGTCATGAATGTAAAGCAGATGGAAAAATTTGATGTTGCTAGTCGCGAAGTTGCGCCTGACCCATCATGGCCCCATGGACAACATTCCTCCAGGCCTTCCTGTCCTCCATCATCCCCTGGAGTCCACTTAAGCTCACACCAACTGCTTCAATGACTCCATCAAGCCACCTCATTCTCTGCCGTCCCCTTCTTCCTTTGCCGTCAACTGTTCCCAGCATTAGGATCTTCTCCAGTGAGTCCTTCCTTCTCATTAGGTGGCCA